TTAATCATATCAGATACTTTGTATATATTGTAAACAAACTCCTGTCTCAATGTAGTAGTTGTTTCCTTACTAAAGGGGACTCAAGGAAACAGTATTCACTCCACTCAACTTCTGAGGGGTCATTTTGTTAGGTGTTCCAGCTCTGGCAGGGAGATTGGACTGGATGATCTTTTGAGGTCCCTTCCAATCCCCAACATCCTGTGTTTCTTTGATCTCAGATCTCATCTGACCCCTTACAACCATGGAGGAGAGGGATGACTGTTGTCTGTTTTACCTGCTGTAAACAAGTAAAAACAAGAGATTAAAGCCACTGCCTGATGTAGCCCATGATGCTACAGAAAATTAAGGACCAGGATGTGCTCATGGGCAGAGAGCTGCCACCATTTTGGGGTCTTCCAAGGAGTATTTAGCTCCTTAAGTAGTCAAAGAAACATGCTGTCTATTTTTCATTCCAACACCAGCCTTCTTGGGTTTAGCAGCAGCCAGGAGAATCTGCAGCAAATTATTAACCCTGTGGTATCTCCTGCATTAAGCAGGAAGGAGGCAGGGAGGCAGCTCTGGAGTAGCTGCTGCTCATACTCCCCCACTAGGAATTTTCCAGAAGGAGTTACTGTGGCATCCTCTGATGGCAAAGATGATGTAACAGTTGAATGGATTAAGGAATTTTTAACTTGAAATTTGCTGGTGTTGGAAAAAGTGCACCTATGCAAGCAGCAAATTCCAACTACCACAAGCCTGTGTAAGTTTTGTACATCAAACCTATGTCCACTGTGGAATCAACAATAGCTCTTAATTTAGGACAGTCTGATCTCAGACACACTGATATTCAAATGTTTGAAGTGAATAACATCAAGGCTTAGAAAAAATAGGGTCTTATTTTGCAAGTGGGTGATACTCTGCAGAAAGTTTTACATTTCCCCCTAATTTTACAATACATTTCACTAGCATGATTGAAGGATAACATTATTTTTCCCCACAGTTTTGGAAATGTGTTTCATTTATAAGTCTGGATAGTTTAATTAGGGAAGCACATTTAGTTTAAGAAAAAAAAAATGGGTAGGTTAGAAGAAAAACTCTTCTAATGCTCCCTAGGGTCTATAGGTCCTTGAACCCAAACTGATGTGAATGAAACCATTATTGTTCTTTTGAATCCTGCTGAGCCATTATGGTAACAGCTTTCTAGAGATCTGAGTAGCATTTTACTATGTCTTTCTGCTATTCCATTAGCCAGGATTTTAGTCCTTAGACATCAGAAATTCCAAGGTTTAATATAGTTCTTGTTCAACATTCAGAGAAAGCAATATCCTTTTAATTTTATATAGATTCTTATACACATTTTAGATTGGGCTCTGGTAAGTATTTGAAATTAACTGAGAGAAAACTTTGTGTCCCTCTTTTTAAGCATCAATCAGTTGAATGTATTAAAACCTGGCAGCAATGAAGAGTCAATCAAGCAAATGAAACTGAACACACCCACTGCCAGATATTTCCTGCCATAAAAACACTCACACATTGGATGGGAAGGAAGAGTCGTGCCCTAATAAAATCTAACAGAGAAACAATAATAATGGTTAAAAGGTAATAAAAGGATTATTATCAAGCTATATAGACTAAACCAAACCTTTAAGTGATATGTTATTGAGTTAAAACGTGAGCTTTGATGATCCAGCTGGTGTTTTAACTGCTTTAGAGCCAAAATACTTTGTTTTATACCCCTGTGTGCAGCTATATAATAGATACTCGCTCTACAACCTTCTTAAAATAAAGTTGCTCTTAAAGAAGTCGCAGAAAATATCTAGGAAATATCATTCCAAAAACAATTTGCCACTTTGGCTCAAAAAGGAAAGTAGATTTCAAGGAATTAATATACTTACAATAGTTTCTTTGCAACTGCAGCAGCATAATATTGAAGAAAAGAGCGGACAGTTTGATAGCTAGAGGTTGCTGTTCCTGTGATAACTCAGTTAAAAAAACTGAGCAGGTAAGTGTAACTCCCTTGAAATAATAAAACTGATGAGCTGTAAGCTCTGTTTTTCTTCAGAAGAAGACTTCAAGATTTTCTACAGACATTTCTGACACATGCATAGACTGTTCTAAAATGAGCACAGAGCATCAAGGCAACAAAACTGTTACAGACAAACAACAAAAACCAGAAAGAGCAGCAATCAGGCTGATGACAACTCAGCTTAAATGCCAAAATTCCCTCAGAGTAAAACTTCTAACACATCTCTAACGACCAAAAATAAATTAATGAAGTCCTGTTCTTGAAGTTGGTTTAAAATAACACCTTTACATCCTGTATAGGTCTCGTACAGCCCAGGAACTCCACCAAAAACCACCAAGCAGCTGATGCAAGCTTCCCATTTTCCAATAATACCCAGTCATCCTGAAGGCCTAACGCATTATCCAAATAATCTGAGCATGGTAAGAACCTTCCCTTGTAGGAACAGCAGCATTTTCTGGTAGGGATGACAAATAAATCTTAACATATCCCCTCATTATCCATTTTCTGCACTCCTGAAAAAATATGTCATATTGGTTTCCTCACCTGATAGGGACACGGGATGTGATATTCTCTGCAGCGTTCTTGAATCCACGTCGTCTCCCACACACCTCGATAAGCCTGCTCATAGAAATAGCAGCCGATTACAACCAGCAGCGGCACGAGGTACAGAACACTGAACACGCCAATCCGGATCATGAACTTCACCAGTTTGTCCTGGTTTTCTTTTTCTAACGGGATTTCAATGCGAACCCGATTGAGTGAGATAATGCCAGCTAGCAGAAGGGAAACTCCAACAACAACATACAGGCAGAGAGGTGCAAGGACAAAGTATCTTAATGCATCCACATCATAGAGGCCAACAAAACAGACGCCGCTAATATTGTCACCTTCAATTTTATTCATTGCTAAGAGGATGATGGTTAAAGTTCCTGGAATGCCCCAGGCACTGGCGTGGAAGAGCAAGGCTTTCTTCTCGATTGCTTCACTGCCCCATTTTGGCACAGCTGCTAAAAACCAGGTGATGGTAAGAATGACCCACCAAACACTTCCAGCCATGGTAAAGAAATAGAGCACCATGAAAAGCATAGTGCAAGCTTTGTTGTGGGAGCCTTGTGTCACTGTGGAAGCCTTGTACTGGGTAGGGCTAGATGCGTTACACGCTACTCGGTCTTCAAGCAGAAAGCCAATGAAGAAAATTAATGAGACCATCATGTAACAGACAGCGTAAAATATGATCGGTCTTTCCGGATAGCGAAATCTTGTGACATCGATCAGAAATGTTAAAAAAGTAAACAAGGTAGCAGAAAGGCAGACGATGGAGATGACTCCGATGAAGTAACGAGCAAAGGAGAGCTCTTCACGCCGGAAGTACATATTTGGGCAAGGAGGGGAACAGTCTCGTACCCTCAGGAAAGAGTAACCCAAATCAGGGTCTATTTTCAACTCCCGAGGACACCAAAAACCATAATCCCTCTGCACTGCCATTGGGGCCTCTTCTGTGGGTTCCCCAGCTAAATTGAGGTCAACGAGACGAGGATATGGCTCATCACAATCTGGGAATCTAAAAAGTAAGAAAAGAATTATTTACAAGAAATATACACACACTTTGCAAAGACTAGTAACTTTATCTATGTGTCTGACTTTAGACATGCTAACTGGAGCGAAAACACAGACAATTCAAATAAAAGATAATCCATGAAATACTACACTGTGTTTAAACAAAGTCTAGGACTCATTGTTCCAGAATACAGTGAATGTTGAAACTATAAAACAGGTTTAAAAATAAACCAGAACAATAAATGGGCAAGGGGTGCATTGGGGCTTTAAGCAGAAAAGTGAGGATACAAAAATCCATCTCAGGAAGTATATAAATGAAAGTTTACTATAAACTGAGACTATGTGCCCAAAGAAGCATGATTTTATAGAACATTTTTAAACCTTTCCCTAAGCAACTGTAGCAGCTGCTATCAGATAGGACAGTGAGTTAGTTAGACCAAAAATCCAACCTAGCACTGCTACTACTGTTAATAAATTGAAATTTGGAGGCAGATATTTCTGTAATTAAGTAAAGCTCTGAGTGGAGGCTACGGGCTGCTGGAGGAGTAGTTTTGAAGGAGAGACTGGAGGGATTCCACGCATAGCTGTCCGGTTCCTCCCTCTGCTAGATGTTATGTTGGGGAGGGACTTTTCATAAGGGCAATTAATGATAGAACAAGGGGAAATGGCTCTAAACTGAAAGAGGGGAGGTTTAGATTAGATATTAGGAAGAAATTGTTTGGTGTGAGGGTGGTGAGACAGTGTCCCAGGTTGGCCAGAGAAGCTGTGGCTGCTCCTCCCTGGAAGTGTTGAAGGCCAGGCTGGATGAGGCTTTGAGCAACGTGGTCTAGTGGAAGGTGTCCCTGCTGATGGCAGGGGGGTTGGAACTGGATGAGCTTGAAGGTCCCTTCCAACCCAAACCACTCTGGGATTCTATGATTATCACCTCAGCAAGTGTAGCATAAGCTAACTACACCTGTTCCTCTGCCACAGTCCATGTTCTGGCACAATGGCACTAACAAAGGACCAGCAAAGTTTGAGTAGTTTTAGGTCTGGTTTTGAGATTTCACTGCCTGGGGGTTACTGAGGAGATGAGAGGACTCAAAGGGTCCAGGCATCTGTTTGGAGTATGGAGTTAGAGCCATCTTTGATCCAAATTATCAGGACGTAGAAGCATCCCCTGGCTTACTCCTTTGCTAAAATCAGTTTGAAGTGTTTTTCATTCATAGAATCATAGAATCATAGAATGGTTTGGGTTGGAAGGGACC